ATATATATGTTTTCTTTTCTTCCTCTCCTCCCACAGGTCCATCCAGACAGAGCCCCCTCCTTATTACTCTCAGCGGAAACTATTCCAGTCCACTGAGCATCACCAGCTCCAGCAACAAAGTATATCTGCACTGGTCCTTTGATCACACAACCAGCCACAAAGGCTTTCGCATACGATACTCAGGTAAGTGAGGGTTACAAATTTACTACGTTAAAAACTCCATAACTGATATGCAGTGCATGAAAATGATTTTTGACTCGATATTCTTTTGGATCTTGTTTTGAAATTGATCCCATTAGTATTGTGTTCAATTTACTTTAACAAGTCCAACATCTGCGCTTCCAACTGTGGCTTAGACAGCTCGAAATATGACCCATCTCAATAAGAACCTAATGAAGGCAGCAAACATCTGCACCCACGTCTTGCTGTGCAGCAAGAACCTGGGAATTGGTAAACGCTGTTTCATGGGTTGCTTATTATTCCTCCGTTTTGTCCTGCTACCATGAAGGATTTGTTAGTATGACACCTGCATAAGTTGCTGTGAATTATGACTGTGTAAATATTTAAAAGGCCCCCTCCGTTCTGTATCAACACCACTCAGCCAGATTGACTAATCGTCTCTCTCCTTCCTCTCAGTGGAGCTTTCTTTCTCCCTAGCCGGATGTTCTGTCATCTCTCTCTGTTTTTTTTTCCTTTCTTCCTCTATTCCTTTTTTTTTGTTTCCAGCATTAATGGAGTTTATCTTGGCATATTAAATGACTGGCTAAGTGATCCCCAAGAACCCAAAACTTGCCATGGTCAATATGGAATTGCCTTCTGTTGTACCTTGCCGGGGAGGAACAAACAGATGGCATGGGCCCATTCAATGTATTCAGCTTTACTACTCATCACTCCATGTTTCTCTCAAAGGGCAGTCCTTTCATTAACAACTACCAGAGACTGTGCAATTCACTATCTCAGTTTCTTACTGTTACTTTCCATCAGTTACTAATTTCACGTTCATTATTTCAGAGTAGACCTGAGCATGCCCCTATGTCTTTGTTTCTCCTGCCATTTATTGTCTTTTAATATCTAGTTAAATATGTAAATTCATTTATTTTGAACTGCAGGGCTGATTGTAAAATAGTTGAGCGATATGCTGTTGTAAACTAGAATGGAACATGAACTTGAACAGAAGATGAAAAGGTAAAAGTGCAAACAAGTTAAAGATTTAGAAGAGACAAAACAGTAAACATAAGGGCTGGGTAATAGATCAACAGTCATGTTAAGGCTCAGAGACTTGTACAAAAGTTATTTTGGTGCAGTCATTTAAATTATGACTTTTGTGAGATTTATTTTAGGGGGTGGGTGCCTGTTTTTTTTTTCTCATACCCTTGTCTCGGTTTTGCATAGTTGCTTTGTATTTTTTTGACTTCATAAAGTAGGTGGCTGTAAGAAAATGGCTTCTTCATCATTCTGACATTGATATTTTTTGGTCATATTTAAAAATTCTGTAGCATGAATTAACAACATGAAGAAATTAAATATACCTCACATAATTAATAGAAGTTAGGTAGCAGTGAACCAGGGCTGTGGTAGGTCTAATATTCCAGAGGTTGTGAGTTCGAGCCCCCAATTTTTCAGTAATGACAAAAGACATTTGCCAAATCTACTATGTGTGGTGCAGCAACCCCTGCAAACACACACACAAACATAATAGGGACCCAAACTTACCCATACGCATTTAAAAAAAAGTTGAGTAGGTCCTCTGGACAAGTTATTCTTTGTTGAAATGTTTCATCTTTTCTCAAAGAGACTTGAGTTGCAGGTAACTCAGCCTTATCAGTATTTTCCAATAGTGGAATAACAAGATTAATGGTGACAATCAAAACTGCTTGATCACATGTAAGAGGAGCATCAGCCTAACAATCAATCATTAGGGCACTGATTATCACCTATTGTTCACAGAGGGCTTAGTCATTCTCATTCTCGCATTTTAAGAGGGGGACAATTGGACATGGAGGCCTCCACTACTGTTTAATGGCAGGTGGTTTCTTGTCACAAAGGTGGCTTCTCTCTGAAACCCGTGTTCCTCCCTATCAAGGATGAGAACATCTTCATGCCTAAAAGAGTCTGTACGTGACTGTAAACTGCAGAGTCCTGGCCTGATGATGTTGTTCTTCTGTGCTGGGTCATCCTAATGGCCAGTGGCCTCTTTGTTTCTTCAATGAATAACTGGTCACTGACAATCTGGCATTTTACAGCAAACAAAATATTACTCTCTGCAGGGGAACAACCAGTTTTGATTGTGAAGGTACTGCTTATAAAGCTGAGCTTATCCGTAACTCATCAGACTGCAGAAGTGTCTTGGAGAAGAGAACATTTCCAGAGGACATACTCAGCTTTTTCAGATTTTTTTCTATCTGGATCATTGAGATGCATAAGGACATAACCTTACATAATTTTATGTTACACTATGCAACCACTCAGTGTTCTACCACGGTATCATGACATTTTTTTGCAAAACTTAAATGCATAATAAGCACTTCTAATATTTTAACATTTTATACTCTGATGGAGTTTAGTCTAATTTCTTACTTAGTAATAAAAAAATCACATACAAATATGATTTTTTTCAAATAACTAATTGTTTACATATAATGAACTGAATGTTTTGTTGCTATAAATCATGCAATATTTTTCTCTTCTTGTGTTCTGTTTCTCTTTTTTTCAGCTGTTATGCAACATTGCCCTGTTGCTGCAAAATCTACTAAATTCCAATTTAGTCTTGTAACTCCTCTGGATCCATTGTGGCATCATTTGTGATGATAAATGATCATGGCTGCTATTGGCTTACCCCAAAACAGATAGTTTGTTCTTGTTATTATGTATCCATCACTTTTGTGATTCTCTTTTGCAGCTGCTGACAAACTCTTGTTTTGCTTTGCAGAGCATTAATTTCCGATAATCAATTTTCTTAAACTCAAGTCAGTTGTGTTTGTCCTAATCTTTGCCTTAGCACAAGTAGATGCAGTACAGATCTGGTGCTGTGTGCACCCAAATAGGCAATTTTTTTCACCTTCTTAACAAAAATTTTCATCAACTTGCATCATAATTGTGTGTTTTTTTACATATATACTTGTTGCAATCTTTTCTGTTTGTTTAGCTAAATATGAGTTTTTGTTCTTTTTTTATTTGTAGCGGCCTACTGCAGCCCTCCAAATAACCCTGTCAATGGGACAGTGCACAGTCTGACGGGCACTAAGTTGGGCAGCACCTTGCGCTTCAGCTGCGATCAGGGTTTCCGACTGATTGGCCAGAGCAGCGCCACGTGCACTCGCTCTGCACAAGGGATATTTCTGTGGAATGCACCAGTGCCTCTCTGTCAAGGTGAGGTCCCTGTCCTGCAATTGGCTCAAGTAGAATGGAGACCACGGAATGTCTTAAATTCTGTAAATTATTTTAATTTATTTATTTATTTATTTATTTATTTATTTAT